ACAGACGGACTTCCGTTTAACCTCGACTCGGCCTTTCAGGAAGGCATATCTACACCTCTACGTCGGACTTCGCTAACAGAGAGGCAGCCATATAAGTACTCACTCTGGCTTGGACTAATCTGTTGAGGATATGAGGATGTCGACTTAGACTCACACACACACACACACACACTGTTCCGAGAGATTGAAGACAAGTAAGCCAACAACCCCCCATTACATAACTTGCACAGTATTTGCTAGCGGTGTAGCGTGTCAGAACTGATTGTATCACAAGGCACTTGCTTTACTGTAGTAACCGCCCGAATCTCGGCGAATACATCAAATGGTCGCGTAAAATGGTCTTTTCTTCTGCCTAGGCCCCACTTTGCGGCTCTTTTGGTCTAACCGACGCTGTGTGTTCTCTCGGCTGCAACGGATTGCAAACGATTCACTGAATTCCTCGCGCTGCTTCCAGCAGCACCGCGCCCAATTAGCAAGATTCAATACGAAGCATATTCGCTGCTACCAAGAAATTATGGACGGAAACTCAAAGGTACCAGTGAAGACACTAAACGAGGAAGGAAGTAATCTCGAGATCCACTTTTAGTAACATCTTTCTGCCTTATTCCTAGATCTGATTATAACGGGGCTCGATTAGGCACATAAGCCGTCGAGCCGAAGACATTAGCACTGAGGCTGGTCGAAGACTGACTGACGGACAGTCATTAAGTGGGAGAGCGCTACCACCCGGTTGGTGGATGGCGCAATGCCGAGAATATTTCATAACACGTTAGTAATATGGGATAAATATATAAAATATCTACTAAGAGATTCGGGTTACTTTAATTGCTGGCTTTAAAGCTTTTGAAAATGAGAATTATATTTTAAATATTATATAACCGGTAGTACCTCCTTTCTATGTTAGATTTGGGGGACTCGCAGCCCTTTGACATTCTCAGGTCCGGCATGCGGGTTGCCGCGGTAGCCGGATGCTACTGATTGGAGCTATTCTGCCTGCCTCCAGTACCACCTTCGTGTCTAAATGTGTGTGGTCATGGCCTCTCGCGCTAATAATAGGCTCTGCGCCGGTTCGTTTCCGTCTTAGTCCACAGCGGGCGGGAATTTAAAGTCGGTAATATCCTCCCCTTGCCCCCATGCTGATCAAAGGAATAGTCCCTTCAGAGCTTCCGAGTCCCTGCTTATTCGGTTTCGGCCAAACTTGTACTTTGCTCTTGCTCTTCTCCTTCTACACACAAAAACGCTGCAAGGTGCTCAACGCCAACAATGGTTTCCCCGATTCGAATTGCTGCTGTCCAGGCGGAGCCAGTTTATCTGGACCTCGCTGCATCGGTCAAAAAGGCGTGCGACCTCATCGGCGAGGCCGCCAAAGGGGGCGCGAAGCTTGTCGCCTTCTCGGAATGCTGGCTCCCTGGCTACCCCGCGTGGATCTGGTGAGTCTCCCACGCCCGGTCTCTAGTCGCCTCCCTAACAGTCCGCACCTAGGGCCCGCCCGGTGGACGTCGAGATGCAAACTCGATACATCTACAACTCCCTGTCAATCCGCTCACCAGAGATGGAACTCCTCAAGGCAGCAGCCAAAGAGCATTCAATTGCCGCCGTCCTAGGCTTCTCCGAGCGGAGCCCCACCAACAGCGTCTACATCTCCCAGGCCATCATCTCCCCCGAGGGGGAGGTTCTCACACATCGCCGGAAGCTCAAGCCCACGCACATGGAGCGCACCATCTTTGGCGACGGTTCCGGTGGCGACTTGAACAACGTCGCCGAGATTGACTTCGGCGCCGAACACGGCAAGATCAAGGTCGGATGCCTCGCCTGCTGGGAGCACACGCAGCCGCTACTCAAGTACCACACCATTGCTCAGGGCGAGGCCATCCACGTCGCCATGTGGCCGCCTCTTGCGCCCTCGGCTGGTGTGGAGGACCCCGGTCTGTGGAGCATGTCCGTTGAGGGGTGTCAGAATCTGTCGCAGACGTATGCGATTGAGAGCGCAGCGTACGTGCTGCACACTACTGCTGTGTGCAACCAAGAGAGCATCGAGGCGCTCAAGACGCAGGAGGGGATTGTGTGCCGCCAGCCGGGGGGCGGGCACAGTTGCGTCATCGGTCCAGATGGGCGCCGTCTGACGACGCCCATTGGGGGTGGGACGGGGGTGGATGAGGGGATTGTGTATGCCGACTTGGATCTTGGCAGGACAGTGGCCACTAGGGGGTTCATTGACATCGTTGGGCACTACAGCCGGCCTGACTTGCTATGGTTGGGCGTTGACAGGCGGCAGAAGGAAGTTGTGGTTGGTGCTGGGCCGGCTGCGGCGGCGGATCGCGGAAAAGAGGGCCGTTAAGAGGCTTGATAGGTCGATGACTCCGCTCGTTGGGTACCCAAGCTGAAGCAAAGCGGCCATCCCTTTGACTACATCCCACAATGTGTCCTTCAAACAATGAGGGAAGGACGCTAATAGGTCTTCCCCATTCCGAAAACTCGCAGCTCAGCCCCGAAAGTGCTGCTTTTATCCTCTGAGTGGCTAGCCAGGCCCACAACCGAAATTCTAGGTTTTCAGGATTCGCCCTTTCGCGTCACAAAGCAACGCCATCTTCACACATCATGCGGTAGAGGTGTTGAGAGTGGGGTATTAGCCAATTGAGATCGAGGTTGTTTTTGGTGGCGTCGTCGGTGATAACACAACACACTAAGGACCCTGAAATGTGGTTGTGGAACGAGCACGGGGGTCTGGACCTCGTGTCAGTAGCACATGGAGGACGGTGGTCCGCTGGAGCCGCAATAATAATGCGGCAAATTGGGCAAATACCACTAGAACTCACGCCTTCCACCACGCTCCACCACAAGTAGTCTCTTTGGTGTTTTAGGTCATGCGGTTGGGCAGCAATCCCGTGGCGCTCGAAGCGGACAAAAGACCGGGGAAGGGAGAGCCCGCCCATATGCTCCAACGTTGGTGCGGAAAGAGGACGAGTTCACGGGATAATACCCGCACGAAGGATCTAGATACCTAGAAGGACTCAGGGCATCGCTTTCCACACCCCAAAACACCCCCAAAGACGACTCTTCAGAATACCAGAACACCCAGGAACAAGCAGTTCACAATGTTGGTGTCGTCGATCGCAGATCATATGAAGTGTCCTCGGACTCGACCGGCCCAGGTACCGAACCCCGACTTCCAGCCTCCGTATCCGAGCTTCAGCATCCGTTTCCCCGAGAATGTCTCCCAGCTCGTCATGGCCGTCATAGGGGCTCAGCACAAATCAGCTTCTGACGCCGCCGATGGCGCTTCTCGCGCGACTCTTACGGCTTTCTTAACATCCCGAGCGAGCACGACCCTTCCCTCCTTCTTTGAATGGGCCTCGGTAACCGACAACAAGGGCTTCTACAACATCACTGCCCTGGCGTATTGGCCCAGCAAGGCCGCATACGAGTCATGGGCTGAGGAGTCCGGCTTCAGAGCGTGGTGGCAGGCTCTTGGGCCTGACAGCCCCAACGGCTGGTTCCTCGAGGCCTTCTTCCCAACGACCGACCGCTTCGAGACACTCTTCAACACCGATACCGCCCGCGAAGGTTCCGCTCACATGGGTCAGTGCATGAGCGCAGCTGTCAAGGAGCATGGCTATTGGGGGAGCATGCGCGACAGGATCCCTCTCTCGCAGACCGATGGCCTAGAGGGAGCGAAGGCCGCACCAGATGAGTATAGGTCACCCCCTGAGGACGTCACCCCTACCGGCAGAGTGGTCATCCCAGGCAGAAAGAACCTCGCCGTCATCCGCTCGGGGCAGGACTGGCTTGACACTACCCCTGAAGAGCGAACCCTCTACCTCGATACCATGCATCCCGTCTTGACAAGAGGGATGGACTTCCTGCGCGACCACGGCGAGGAGGTCGGTTGCTACAGCTGTCGCTTCAGTGAGGTCGTTGATCCAAAGACAGCCAAGCCGGACGGCATCGATCGAACCTTTGGACTGGCATACTTCGACGAGCTTGCTTCCCTGGAGAAGTGGTGCAAGGAGCATCCGACGCATTTGGCCATCTTTGGGGGGTTTTTCCAGTATGCGAAGAAGCTGGGGAATAATGTCACGCTGAGGGTGTTTCATGAGGTCATGGTGTTGCAGCCTGAGCAGCAGTACTTTGAGTATGTTGGGTGTCATCCTAGCACGGGGATGTTGGTGACGATCTGCTAGATGCCTGTTCGGGTGGAGAAAAGGAAGGGGCTTTGACTTGTATCTCTTATCATGTGTGGTCATTCATGGATACGAGGCATTAAGACGCACCTTCAAGCTAAATACACCATCATGCGCCAAACTCCATGCCCCATAGTATCCTCAACGCAGAGCTCTACTCGGTTCTTATCTCGGTGGCAGCACACGGCCTAAGAATGAAATATCTTGGCCGTATTTTATGGACCCGCGGGCATGGCTAGTTAGATTTGTCCTCCCGGAAGCCTCTGGCTTCCACCATGACCCTGCCCTTGACGAAGAAGTAATTCTATTTCCCCTTTTTAAAAAATGTAATTTGCGATATAAGTTTATGGCGGAGTAGTAGTAGTAGTAGTAGTAGTAGTAGTAGTAGTAGGGAAAGCAGAAGCCGAAATGAGTAGATAAATGTTAGTCGAATTATAGCGTGGAGTTAGTGCCGACCATGCTAGCGCCCGGTGCCAGGCTTCGCCGTGGCGACCGTATGCAATCGTTTGATATAGCTGCTACCGCCACGGGGCGAGAACGAAGAAGGCGGCGCGGGCACTGCAAATTTCGCACTGGGAGAGGCGACAATCCAACACATCAAACACCAACCTTAGCCCTCCCTGCTGAGCAGCTAAAAGCGTATTGTGCGACATTGAGGATGTCTCAAAGGACGGTACCTATAGCTACCCTAACTCATAAAAATTCCAGCAAAGTTTCCTACGCGTCTGTTGAGCCTGCCACACTCAACCTGCGCTCACTCAAGATGAACAACTTTACGCCCACCTCCTCCCAACCTACCAGGAGGCTTGTCCTCTCCTAGGTTTTTTGGTCTAGTGGTACGATTCTCGCTTAGGGTCCACCCCACAGCAGCAGCGCATGCGAGACGTCCCGGGTCCAATCCCAGGCAAAACCCCTTTTTGCTTCTCCATGACCCCCTAGGCTAGGCTAGGCTAGGCTAGGTCGCCTGGGCAGGCTCGGCCCGGGCAGCGGCCTCGCGGATGGGCTGGGCCCAGGGGAACTTGCCGACCATGTGCTCCTCGCCCTCGACGTACTCAAAGACGGGGGTGCGGGCGAGGGCGCGGGCGTTCCAGGTGGCAAAGAACTTCTGGAGCGAGGGCTTGGAGAGGATGTGGCGGTCGACGAAGCGGTGGGTCATGTCGGACCAGGTGGCGGAGCCCGTCGCCTGGCTGGCGGCGGCGAGCCCGTCCTTGACGGTGCCGAAGCGGACCTGCTGGTAGTCGTCGAAGGCGGCGAGGAGCCGGTCGCGGTCAGGGAAGGCCGTGGCGTCGCCCGACGCGCCCCGCACCTCGCGGAAGGCGTGGTACATCTCGTTGGCGAGCGCCACCACGTCGACGATGCCGTTGTTGCAGCCCGCCCCCGTGCTGGGCGTGAACTTGTGCGCCGCGTCGCCCGCCAGCACGATGCGGTCCCAGCTCCATCGCTTGAGGATGCCCTCCTCGAGGTTGACCATGCCGGCCTGCGTACGGTTGGCGTAGGCGTCGCCGATAGTGAATTTCGGGCCGCCGTTGTCGCTGCCACTGCCGACGATGGGCAGGTGTCCCCAGCGCTCAATGAACTGGGCCTCGTCGGCCTGCGTGTAGCGCACGCCGTCGCGCGTCGGCTCGTCCAGGCGCTCGTAGATGCCGATGACGGACGTGTCCTCGCCGGCGAACAGCTGCAGGGTGCAGTCGTAGCCGTGGGTCTCGCTGGCGTCGCCGGGCTGGACGGGCGCCACGGTCGGGAAGCGCACCCACATGGCCCGGTACGATGTCAAGAAGGGCTTGGCGTCGTTGACCTCGACGGGCGTGGCCGACTGCAGCGCCGCCGTGCGCATTAGGTCCCGTACCTTGCTGTGGGCGCCGTCGGCCCCGACCACGACGGCACCCTCGTACGTCGTCCCGTCGGCGCACGTCACCTTGACGCCGTCGGGCCCTGTCACCACGTCCACAACCTTCTTGTTGGGCAGCAGCTTGGCCTGCGCCTCGGCGGGCAGCCCGTCGTGTAGCGTCTGCATGAGGTCGTGGCGGCTGATGACACGGGGGTAGGCGCCGTGGCTGCGTGTAGCCGGTCAGCATTACTGTCGGGGCGGGGGGGGGGCAAGATAGTAGCAGACCTACTTCTCCTTGAAATAGGTAAACCACAGCGTGTCGCCGAGGTCGCGGCCCCCGTGGTCGATGCGCTTGAAGCGGCTCATGGGCGAGCTGACGCGCTCGATGACGGGGAGCAGGCCAAGCTGGCCCAGCACGCGCAGGCCGATGGGGAGCAGCACGAGGTTGGAGCCCGCGTCCAGCACAATCTTGCTGCGGCTCTCAAGCACGACAAAGTCGAGGTTGGCGCGCGAGAGCGAGTGCGCAGCCGTCAGCCCGACCGGGCCGCCGCCGACGACGATGACCTTGAAGGCGCTCATGGCGGGCAGAGCGTAGCTAGAGGCTGAGGTCTCTGCATGGTCATAATTGTCTACACCCAAACGTTTTATACTTGTCCTGATAAGTGAATCTACCAGGTAGACGCGTTCTCGGGCGTCCGGGCCTCACCGGTCGCTCGCGTCGACAAGTAATGGTTCGACTCCGTCGTAGCATAAAAGCGCATCAGTAAGCAACCGCGTCGTGACTCGTTCGTGTACGATGTCCTCGCGTCGCCAAGCCATCCGGCTCATCTAGCCCGCTTGGGTATTCGCATCGTCAGCTACTATTGGAGCGGGGCAGAGTCGACGGGTAGAACAGCATGACTAAGTCCCTGCAGAAATGCAGGATGCACGTCCTGTATTGATGCAAGACAGGGGCACGTTGGGACAAAAACGCGGAGTTGGGTTTGGAGAAACCCGCCGATGCGAGGTGTCGGGCTTCGGTTCAAGGTGGAAGAAGTTCTCTTACGATGGCCACGTGTTTCCCTGTTGCCCAACATTACCATTCGTCACGAGAAAGAAGTCAGGACTAGCCTAGGTTCCAGAGTGTGGGGGGAGTACCAATCTAGGCGAAACAGACCTGAATCGAGGCTATGTTGTTGAATCTGCCAGATCCCGCTAAGTCGAGGAAGTTCGATAGGAAAAGAACATTGCGGGCGGTAGTTGAAGCCAGGCGAGGAGGTGCCTTCCCTCGGTGTCTTAATGCCATCCATCTTCATCTAATCTCCCACACCAAGAAAAACCATCCCAACTCCCACCCCCAACCAAGAACCCTCGGCAAGAACCCTCGCAGGCACTCTATAGGCAGCCATCCCACAGCTCTTTCCAACGAACCCTCCTCCGAGGATTACCTGATGGCCTGATGGTATAGGCGGGGGGTTCCCCGACGGAAGCGAAGACAACCGCGATGCCTCCCTCGATGCCCCGGCGTTCGAACCGAGTCGACGTCGGACCCATAACGAAGCCAAAACCCTGGACTTTTCGCAACTACTAACCACCCTCAGCGACCGACGTGGGCAGCTTAGTGGTGAGCCTTTTGCTGTTTCCTTTCTTCTAATTAGCCCCCAGCTATCTCTGTTGAGCCTGGTACGGCAAAAAAGGAAAGCAAACTGCCCGAGATGTACCAGGGCGGTCCGTTTCGATGCGGTCCGGCATGTGGCCTGCTTTTCCCTTGCCTTTTCTTTTCTTTTCTCGTCTTCTTTTAGAGACGACGTTCTACAGCTGTCTTGTCCAACTCGTCTCTTCTTTTGCCGGCTAGACGAGTGGTCGGCGTGCTCGAGATTCGGGAAGAGTTTGAAGTGTAGGTGATCCTACAATTAGTCATTCAAGACATGGAAGACGAGCGAGAACTTCCCTTACCTGATAACTGTTTTTTTTCCGAGTTCTGTTTCATTCTGTTTCTGTGTGGACCCATGTGTGCGTGCAACTCATGCTGTAAAATGATGACAGCAATTTTGATGTTCTAGGTAGGTTGTCTGAGGATGTGTAGGTAGTTGGTTGAACAACCACTTTAACACACTTTGTATCGCCAAGAAATGACCCCTGCTAACGCAAACGCCTGCTTTTCTTTCCTTTGTACCGCCCTTGCGTTCGGAATACCCTCATTCCGACCGCATCCCTTACACCGGAGATTCGTTCGTTTCTACGGCCTTCTTTTTGCTCGGAATGCCTGCCCTGAATACGGACTTTCGTGGAGATATTCAGGTCTATAAGAAGATGCTATTTTACCTGTATTTTAGACCTATCTAACCAGACAATTCAATGCTCAGTCAATCCAGATCACGTGCAACACTTTGGGATAAGGTAGCATCGTGATCAGGGGAATCTTGACTAAACATATCGCGAACTGATGTTTGTGACAACTACCGTTCTTTTTGCAGCACCATGTTCCCTGATCTCATCTGCACTCCGCCATAATCTTCTCTATCTCATGCCTCCAATGCTCTATTTTGTGTTTCTTGTAGGGGTTGTCTCGCACTTTTGGTGGCTGAGGGCCGTACCACTTCACCCCAATATCTTCAGCTGCCCTTCTCTTGTCGTCTTCCAGATCATTGCCATTGAGTTGGTCCAGAACGTCCCTCATTCGACTCACCCAAGTCCGTTTCCAGAAGCTAATGACATCAGCAACCCCCCGGTTCGAGTCCTGTAGAATCTTAAGCATCTCTCTTTCAAACGCTTCAAGTAGCTCTTCCAATAGCCCAAGCTCGTGCGCATGTTCGTCTTCGATCTCTGCCACCTCCTCCAGAGTTGATGACGTATCATCTATCCATCTCAATCCGTAAGGGTTGCAGCAGGTATGGGGGATTCCCAGTACGGTGAAAGTCACATAGCGTAGCGCTGCAGTGTGGTGTTTGACCTCGAGATCGCAACCGAAAAGTTCAAAATATTTGGCCAGGCGTCCGGCAACCCTCGACAGGGGGCCTGCCATCCACATAGATATGTCGCCCGTGTCATCTTCGTTTCCTGCGATGGTCTCCTCGGGGGGGTCTCCTGTAACGCTGTTCTCTGCCGAGTCTGCGTCCTTTACATCGCTGGCATCTGCCGAGTCTGTGTCCACTGTAATGCTGTCCCCTGAGAAATCTGTGTCTTCTGAAACGCTATGCTCTGGAGAGCGTCTTCGTCTGAATTTAAAGGAGTAGGTGTCCAAGTAGAGCACCCCCTTCAAGAAGGATGTTAATGGAGTGCAGCCCCTAGGGGAGCATTTGCAATGGCAGCTGTCGGCAATGGCAGTTGGAAGTACTGCAGCGTTGACTTTGTGGATCCAAGCTATGCGGTCGTCGAGAGGGAGTGATTCGCTGCTTCCAGTAGACTTGGAACCTTTAAAACCCCCGAATTGCGGGAAAGCGTTGAAAATCCAGGAATATGTTCCGGACCTGACGTCTTTGCCGATGGTCCAGAATGTAAAGTTGGCGACGAATATTTCTCTCTGTGTCCGGAAGGACCTAAATTGACAAGAGTCGGCCCCATGCATGGCCAGCCAATGTAGAACCGGCAGGTTCCGATTAAAGTTGGGGATATTCCCAAGTTCTGCTTTGTCGGCGTTGCACCAGGAATCCGTGTCGTGGAAGCCGGCCTTGAAGAAAACTTCCATGTCCTCGGCCGAGTTGAGTGCTTCGTAGACCGATGATGGTCCGTTTCTCGTGACAGCCAGGGACTCGGGGATACCAACGCCTTGGTCTTTCAGGAATTGAATGACTTGCGAAGCAGCAGCATCCAGAACTCCTTTAGAGGCTAGGCCTATCTGCCTTGCTTCTGCTGTTGAAATGTGCTTTAGGGCGAGCTGTTTCAGTTGATCTCTCCGGTCTTTTATGTACCGTATGTACATCAGCTTGCACCGTTCTGATGTAAGGTCTATTACGGTCTGTAAGCTTGCCGATACAGGAACCGCACAGCCGGCCTCAAATAGGATGGCCGTAGGTTTGGCACACGCACATCCTTCGCACATACGACGAGTTGTGGTATCTCGACAACGCAATCCGCCGAGTACGATGGCGGTTTCCAATGGAGAC